GAAGGGAACACCACAGAACTTTAGGACCACTACACTCAGAGCTTGGCCAAAGCAACAACCTGAGCTTTGGGGTTTGTGTCCACACAAGATGGGGGCAACCAATAGGGGGCGCTCACGAGGGCATTCGGTGAGCACTTGGCCACACCTGAGGCGGCAGGTGAAAAGAATGACAGTCATGGAACGCGACTTGGATACCAGCGACAAGAACCGGACCGGCTGAAAGCAAATTATTGATGCACTTTGAAGTTACAAATAGATGACTGGCGAGAAGCTCAGAAGAGCTGCTGTAATAATTAGAACGTGGTCACAGACCAAATCCAGTTCCTCGCCACACTTTCTCGTCTTGAAATAAAAGTCAAATGAATTTTTGGCCCGAACAAGGATTTAATCTGCTTATGAATTTCAATGACCCTAAATATAGACTTGAAAGGAAATCTTATTTATTATTTTGAGGATGGCTCTGACAAGATGGAGGTGATGGAGATGAGAGCCGTCTTGTTTGGGGGGAGGGGCTGTTTGGGGGGAGGGGCTGTTCATGGCAGGGACCTTCAGAGAAGGTGTGAAAGGAGATCCAGGAGAGAGAGACACAGACACTCGATAGCCCACGTGCCGCTCCAGAACTTCCCCAGAAATGCCAACATCGCTGAAGTCTCACTGGTTCGGGTTCAACCGCAACCTCAGCACTCCGACATCTAAAGTGTGTGGCTTACAATGGAGAGGAAGAGGAAGGAAATGATGAGGAAGACTACACGTTCAGCCTATACTACATAGGGACAGGATTAGAACTTCCTTGAACTGACTGGCTGATGTATTACGGTTGTGACCATCACCACAGCTTTTAAGACCCGTTCTTTCTTTTTTCTATGATGTCACCATGCCTGGGGGGTGGTGGGGGGAGGGCAGCCACTTGACATTGGGCTCCCAGAGGTTCTTTTTTCATCCCACTTGGGAGTTTTTGGTTCCTTTCCTCCACTGTTTCCTGGCATTCATTCTTTCATTCTCTCTTCCCTTTATCATTTAATATTCTGTATATGATGCAATAATGTATTACAGCTCAACCATGTCAAGAGCCTTGGGGTGACTCAGTTGTGAAAGGCACTATATTAAAGGAAAACAGAATTAAATTTACAAGTTGGCATATTGGTTTTGTTGGGGGATTTGGAGACCGCCTGACATTTCTATAGATGAAGGAGTGACGGAGATGACTGATTAATGAACAAACCCACTGTGCTTTGACAGGCCTAATTACGGACCGTGTCTCACGCCACTTAACGGCTGCCAGTTACTCTGCTTGACCACTTTCATGTGAGAAAACTCAATGGACAGCATCAGCTCACGGATTAGCCAAACCAATGATACCAAGCATCTGATACCAAAGCAGAGTCATTCAGCGCTGCCCTGATCACACAGGGTTGGACCCCTCCATAAGTCATAGTAATCGATACTTTATTAATCCCCGTGGGGAAATTGTCTTTACGCCTCCCTCAACTTGCTCTTTGTAGAGTAAGTTGTCCGCGAAGGGCAGCCACCTGTAGCGGCACCCAGGCAGCTTGGGGGTTCCGTGACCTCACATGCCGATGCTTCATTTGTCACCAAGACAACACAGCCCAACTTGCCCCTCCAAGCTGCCTGCTCCCCTAACACACCCTCCCCTCCCTGTCACCGGACTGTTACGGAACCAGAAGCGTGAAAGGCGTAGAGGTGGTTGCCATGAGGATACCACACTGTATTTTCGGATAGGACGCTCCACCCCCCAGGCTGGCTGCCATCATACTAAATGGTACCCCACCCAGCGTAGGTCATTGTGGCTGCTCTAACCTCTGAGGCCCCCCGACAGGGAAAAAGCACAGCACATTTTTCCAGTGAACAAACCAAAGCCTAGCCACAAAATAGTTTGCCAGCAGGGGATCTTGAGTTATGGCTGGTCCAAAACAAATCGAGGAAAAAAAAAAAATTTAAAATACACCTTAGTGATTCGGACTATCACACCCGTTGAAACAGATTCACAGACTTCAAACACACTTATTGAGACAGAATGAAGAGGAAAAATGTGGTCAAAATTTACCAAGCATTAAGGTCAGATGACCACTAGTGGGAGGAGGGTGGAACTGCAACACTTACGTCTCCATGTTGTCGCCCTCCAGGACTGACTGGACTGGCAGGTAGCCCAGGCGGGGGTGCTTGGCAAAGTATTTCTTCGATCTGAACTTATTCTTCAGGACCTTGGTGAAGTCGCGCATGTCCTCGCCAGAGGTGGTCTACGAGACAGACCGTCCCTGTTAAATTCAAACACCTGGGCATTCTTTGGCCCCAGTTCCCCACAGGAAAAAAAAATTGATTGAGGACTCCCCGATCCATTAATTTGAGCTTCCATCTATAACCTGCTCATCCCTCCATCCCTCCCTCCATCCATCCATCCATCCTTGATGCCCCCGTGGTATGACCTGCACTGCCTTCTAACCACCACTGGGCAAAGTGAATGTTTCTCCTATTTAATGGCAGCCATTGCCAAGCCAGCAAATGCGACGTCCCTGACAACAGCTGCCCGCCCCCCCCGCCCCCCCCCGCTGTATTGCTGCGCCCTGCACTCCCGCACGCTGAGAGCTTTTTGGAGGGGGCTCACGGCAAACGGGCATTTCATTAAAAACGAGCGCATTCTCAAATCGCCTTTCAAGTCCTGCAAAGCCAACATCTCAAAAGGGGGGGGGGGGGGCATATAGGTGGTTGATGACAGACAGCTAGATGACGCTACAGGTTCTGTGCTGCTGGGGGATTGTGCATTGGGGCATTGGGCAGGCAAATTTCAGGCAAGCTAAGCAAGGATATATCACAGGGTCAGACTCTGCCGCGAAGACTCACCGGGGTGCAGTACTCCACCATGGGGTAGTTCAGCTTGTGGCCCTTGGCCGTGCGGCCGGAGAAGAAGCAGCTCTGACACACGTCGTAGTTGAAGTGCTTCAGGCTGCGGTACCTGCAGATGGAGACACTTGGTGTCAAGATCGCGTGGCGGCTCCTTCCTGGCTCTCCGCTTACAGACCATGTGACCACACCAGGTGACCACACCAGGTGACCATAGTCATCACAAACATTCAGGAATGATAAATACATCACTGACGCCGGTCAGCTCCAAATCAAGGCCCCGGATCAGTGCGTCCCACTATGACGCGAGAAAACGGCACAAAGGGCATTGCAGTCTATTCACGGCATGCTGGAAGTCCCACTCCAGCCCCTAGGGGGCGCTCAGTCCAGGACAAACAGCCGAGAGGATAAAAGAAGCGATAGGTCAGGACGAGCGGAGCTGGGAGGCAGTAACCTGAAAGTTGTGACGGCGGGCTGAGCCACGTAAAGGTTCTCCTTCATCTGCATGCCAGTTCACAAAGGGTAATTGCTTAAAAACGAAGCTGTCATCACTGACATTTAGATGATCACCTTCCCTTAGCATCTCCATGGCTTTTCTAAGTGCTTTCACATTAAACCAAAGCAGAGGGGTACAAAACCTACCCCTAGGGGGCTATGAACACAGCACCCACTGCCTGCCTGGTCTGTCATGACAGAACAACCCATCCTGGGCCCCTATAATGAAGTCAGCCCCCCAAACCCACCATGGCAGGATCGCACCCCCCCCACCCCCCTCCCCTGGACCCCCCAGATCCTCCACAGGTGGTGGGTTCCTCACCGTACCTGAAGCCTACGATGGGGCACTCCTTGCAGATGTTGCACTTGGCCTGGTGCTTGGCCGTTTCGGCCGCCGCCACACGGTGCAGCACGGGCAGCCACACCATGGACTGCGGCTCCAGGCGCATCCAGTCCGCGAACTGCTGGGGCTCCAGCTCCGCCCTGCTGGTGACCTGCGGGATGGACGCGGCATCAAGTTGGCAAACTCTCTGGCAGCCATGGGGCTGCTACAGTATACACACCACAGTCCTCGAGGGGAATTTCTATTTACATTTTTTTTTTTTTAACTACTGTCTGGAAACCAACAGATAAAGCTGCTACCCATTACCAAGGGCAGGACTCTGTGATTCTGCGTGCGTGTGTGTGTGTGTGTGTGTGTGTGTGTGTTCTCTTTCTGGCACATGTTGCTGCAGACTGCCTCCCAGCACAGGTGTCTCCTGTCGTACCCTGGGCCTTGTCCGTTGAGACATTGCATACTTAATGCAACTTGCGTTTTTCTTTTTTTTTTTTTTTTTTTGTTGGTGGGGGGGGGGGGGGGGGTTGGATATGCAGAAACTAGCCTCTATTATACAAGAGGAAAATCACATTTAACGAGCTGACAAAGATTTATAGAAGTAATTAAGCAACAAATAAGAGTACGACTTCTGAAAAGAACGACAGTCGCTTCCTCTGGTAAGCATTTAATTAAAGTTCTTTTTGGGAGAACACAATAATGCGAGGCGAGATTATCTGCGGTACAAACGGCCCGGCGTGCCACGTACGTGCTGGAAACAGCTGCGGACGCTGGGCTCGATGTTGCTCCCCCCGAAGGCCGCTACCTCTCCCAGCTGCCGTGGCACCTGGATGGCGTCATGGAGCAGGAGCCCCAGCTGGCGCTGGTCACAGGTGCCTGCTGAGGATGCCACCTGGGAGAAGAGGTCTGGGGGGGGGGGGATACGGGGGGAGGGGCCACAGGTGAGGTCTACGCCCTTGAAAATAACCTGCCTTTTCCCGGCGACCCTAAAGAGCGTCCACTTAGATGCAGTTTATGTTGGGTGAGGTGTGTCACCAAACCAGTTAAACTGCATGTGGAGCTGGTCTACTGGAGGGCACCACTGCAGACCAAACCACACCAGTCCAGCCAGTATCCGTGGTCGTGTTAAGAGGCAGATTGGCTCCATACTAACTTGACAGGTTCCCGGATGATTCCCAGCCAATGGGCGATTAACGGACCATTTAAATATAAGCCGGCCCGGTGTTACGGATGGCCCCCTTCAGTCACAGCAGGCTGGGACAGTGACGGACTTTTCCAGCCAACGGTTTTAAATTAAGTAATAGGAGCTAGAGGAGGAAGCTCAGCTGCATCTGGCTGGCCTTGGGACCCAGAACCACACGATGGGTCGGTGCAGGGTTTGCGGGGAAAAAAAAACTCCTTTTATCATTAGCAAGCAGGTCGCAGAAATAAAATGAAAACAGACAGCCATTTTAATGCTAATGCCGTCTTTGTTCTGCACACTAACGGGACTAATTTAGCATTTCAGAGACACAATCAGCCTTTCTGGCCCTTATGCTGTATTCACTTGTCAGGTGCTGGCCCATCCCTAACCCCCCCCAACCCAGATAAAGCAGCACAGATGGGCGTCCACCTGAGAAAAAGGCAATAAATTTCCTCCCAGTCCGAGACACACTGTCTGGGATCTCTGTAGCGATTGAGATTGGAATATGCGAGTCACTACGTTAGCGGCCGTTCCCGTCGGCATAAAAACGCTCCCCACAGTCGGCCTATTTAGGCCCCCGCACTGCCGAAAGGCAATCATCTAGCGAACGCGCTGCGATGACAGGATGCAGCCCCCGATCGAGCCCGTGGACGACTTTGATCAGCATGACGCACCCTCCCCCACGTCACGACACACTTCCCCGCTGCGATGCGTTCCTCGATCGAGCTGCATGCACAGGTCGGCGCCGTGAGAGTACAACACCGCTCATTCCACGAGGCTTATGATAAAGCAGCTGGATTCTCTCGGTGCAAGCAGTTGGCACTGTGAACCCCTTCCCTCCGAAATCCCCCCTAAACGCGGCCTGTCAATCTAATGTCTCCGGGAGCTGTCAGGAACACCATTAATCTGCTAAGCGCCCCTAATCGTCTGTCGATAATGAAGGACGACGCCTCCTATTCCCTGCTTGATACAATCAAGCAGACTGGACAAGGTCGACATCGTCAAGTGACCTGCCAAAAATGTCGAAGACCAGCTACAACCATGGCTGCGGCGAGCTGTCGACCTAGCTGGCTGAGGTTCTGTTTGGGTCGGGGGGGGGGGGGGGGGGGGGGGGGGGGGGGGGGGGGGGGAAGATTAGCACAAGTACTGCTTACATTTGTATTTTTCTTCAAGGTGTCCCTTGCAGAGCGAAAGCAGCCCGATCTTCATGGACAGCGCACGAATCTTCCCACTCCGGCCACTGTGGGGGGGGGGGCAAGAGACCTTCTATTAGGGCAGCCAAAACAGAACCTCCAAATGATCACAACTGAAGCCATTCATCGACCAAACACTCGAACAAATCACCCAGAGAATCCTTCACAGAAATGAGTAATTCGCAGTAGTGCCTTCAACACGAGATCTTGGTTTAGTCCAGCCCTCTACCATAAGGCTCAGACTCGGAGCTTTTTGTCAAATGGACTGACCAGAGCAATTTGTAATGCTATTCCTAGTACTAGCAAAGACAGAAGTCAAAGTCACATACAGAGAGAGTGAGGAAAAATTAGATCTGTTTGATCATCTTCTCTACCCAACCTTTCCTAGAGCTGGACTAAAACCATACAGCATCAGAAAGAGATGGATGAGACACCTACGTGTCGTAGACGTTGAGCAGCCAGTTCAGACACATGTCCACGCAGAGAGGCACGTTGACCAGGTCCTTGTGCTTCTGCTCCAGCCCATCGTACATAGTAGTCAAGCAGTTGATGACGTCGGGGACATTGAGGAGCTGGTTGTTCTGGGCCAGCTGGTGCTGGTCGAACACTTCCTGGGCCACACTCAGCTCCAGCAGATCCACTGAGGAAAAGGCAGGACCTAGAATCATCTGTGTATGTGGGCTTTGAGGATTCCAACCGCACCAAGATCATACTTTATTCCAACTTGGTATGTCAACAGGGCAAGCTTTATTTGAGGGTACAACAGTACAAGCACCTTCCAAGAACAATTTGGCTGAGAGTCCATCTAGAAAACCATTGCTGCACCTCACAGGATAGCAGGACGAGCTCAAAATCATCAGCATTCTGGACCTACTTTCCCCTGAGGAATGAGACGTCTCGCACATCAGAGACAGCTCTTTGCACATTTCCAATAAGATGGTGCAAATAATTATCTCCATATTTGGGCATTACAAGGCTACAGTGATACACTTCCCTAGGTTCACGTCTTTGAGAAAGACGTGACAACAGCATGACGATGCGGTGGATCGGAAGGCTGGGGCTCCGCCTGCGATCAGAAGGTCCTTAACCCCCCCCCGAAATGCTCCAGGGCTGCTGGAGAAACAGGTGACCCCCGTGCTCGGAACCGAAGCTTCACTCTCACCTCTACATGTGAGTGTGTGCGTCTTAAAAAAAGGAGAGCCAGGCTGAATTTGTGCATTCTTGTAGGCACCCCAACCCAAGACAAGGCGAAACGACGCCTCCACCTGGCCAAGCCTCACATCACACCCTTGGTGGGACCTTCTCTGTCACCTAGGAGCTCAGATAATGGCTTCAACTGCTCCCAATTTTTTCAAAGAGCCAAAACACCATAGAAGAGAATATAGCCATTACGCACATGCACATTAACAGACAGAAGAGTTGGGGCAGGATTACAGGTGGCAACAGGCAGCCCATCTAGACCAGCGCTCAGCAACTGGAAGCTCATTGGCCCCCAGACCCTCATCCTGTTCACCCTCTCCCTGTTTGGGTGCCAATTAATTACCCTCATGCCAATGCAAGCGAGCAGAGCAGGAATTACTGAGCAGTGTTCCCTATGCCCACTTCAACGCTTGTCTTTCCCTCTTTTTAATTGGACAGAGGTGATGACCGGGCCCGCCTCTGCATCCTAATTGGCCGATTGCTGGTCGCTAATTGACACTACGGGTGCTTGAAAGGCGTAACCGCGTGCTGAAGGATTAGCTGTGAATTTAATGAAGCTGCATCCGCGGCTGAGTGGGCCGAGCAGACACACCTGGGCAGCCGGCGTGCTTAGAGGACTCTGTGTCAGCCTGGCCTGTTCTGAATGCTCACCTTATTGCTTATAAGGTTAATGATCACACTGATCTGAGGTCAGTCGCTCTGGGGGAAGACTAACACTGGATGAATTGGATTGGAAGTGTGATGGTTCAGCAGCTGAATCGCTAAAAGCTAAAGCACGGTAACAGCTTAACCGAATATAAACAGACAGATCCACAATATTCTACCTCTGTCTTCCTGGCTGTGAAAGCTGCGCCCCTTCGGAGGGCGAGCGAGTACGTTTGAGGACGAGGCGGGTCGGCCTGATTTATAAAGCACCAGCCAACAGAGGAGGCCTAACCTAATTAGCTGTTAAATGGGATTCTCGTCTGGGTATTTCACTGAGCTGAGTGGGGGGTGAGCGACTTACACAGGCAAAATAACGACGGCTGACTGTCCATGCAAACCTGCATTACCCAGGGCGATGCTTGTCAATAAAAACTCTCAGGAGTCACATTTACTTGTATAGCACCATTCATGCAATTCAGGGCGCCCGACAGAGAAAAGTCAGGGTGCTTTACAGAGAAATAAGAGCCATACTTGGGAGGGGGGGGGGAGCGGGGAGGCAATTTACTTATTCAGCAGATGCTTATTTAAAGCAAGGTGCAAGTGAGAGAGCAGGGTCACCCTGTCCCTGCAGGAATTAGGCGTTAAGGGTCCCTCCAGGGCAATTCATTGAAATCAATCTGCCAGTCATGGGATTCAAACTGGCAACCTTCCGATCATAGACATTGAGTCAGGGCTGCCCAACCCTGCTCCTGGAAATCTACCAAACTGCAGTTTAGATGCAGCCCTAATGGCCTAGAGCTGCTGCTATGTCAGGAAGCCTCTTCCACGAGGAAAACAGCCAGGAAGTAGCTGCTCTCGTCATAGACGCGTCTGAACTCCATAATCCTGTAGAGCGCTTAGCATAATGCTCCCCGATTCATCCCGCCCCCTCATAACTAAACACCTAGTCTACACTCAGCCTTACCGCGATGCGGGTCACTGCCTGTCTAATTTCCCGTCAGTTATTAAACGCGGCGGTGGTTCCATTAACCTTTATGGATCGCGGTGCGTTTGCTCTGAACGGCTGAGCGCACGGGACAGGAAACACCCGCAGACCGGCGGTCACCCGGCAACAGGGTGCGGCCGCGTGCAAGTGTTTGGCGGGGAGCTCCGGGGTCCGCGTGCTTAAACTCGGCTTACACATTGCTGCAGAGAGGTGGTATTTCCATTGTAAAAGGGGGGGGGGGGGTCCTATTTGGGCTCCTGTCTGAAATCACAGACGACCACAACCTGATTCTGAAAAACAAACATTTGTTCTAAGCGTTTCCGTTATGCACGTAATGGAGCAGGACTGACCGAACTGAACATGACGTCTGTTAGCGCAGCAGAAACACGGGACACTAGAACCACAGAAGGTAAAGTGAACAGCCTAATTAAAGTCAGTAAAGCTCGTTAAACAAATATAATCACTGAGCGTTAACGTCAGCTCAGCACTGAATCACTTTCACAGACAGAAGAAGTGGAAGGAGGAGGGAGGGGGGGGTGACTAACTGATGTGGGGACAGGATGGTGCTGGGGATTTGGGAAGGGGGGGGTCACACTTACAGCACAGGGCCTTCTGGAGCCGGCGAATCTTCATGGCGGTCCGGTAGGCGGAGAAGCGCACGTTGTTTAGGTCACCTGCACATTAAAAAAAATAATGATATATTAAGCACTTTAGGGATTTCAGGCCTCCACACACTGGAAGGGCAACGCACACTTTTCAGTTTGGTACAGTAGTTCTTGCAGACACAAACGACATATTCCCACGTCAGGTGACCTGAATTTACAGAATTCATTCAGCCCCCCCGTCCCATATTATTCCCTGGATAATTTGTACTTGGGATTTGCTTGGCCCACCCCCCAGTAACCTGGCTGGCGTGTAGACCTCTAAACACCGTTTCATGTCTATAAAGGTTTGAAGTTTCAGAAGCTTTTGCAGGGGGCGCCCTACAGAGCACTGCAGACCGCAGGACCACTCCCTAACTCCTCTCAATAGATGCAGACACCCCCCGGCCAGGGGGTCCATTGAGACACGTCCTGCACGCTCCATAACAATGCCATTAGCGATTGGATGCAAGCAGATCTCGATAGATAACAGTTCTGTCAGACTGTCGCCCCAGATACCCCAGAAGCCAGGAATGTGTCTCTTTCATTCTGTGTACAGAAAGACAAATAATCCACAGCCTTCTTTAAGCTAGGGAGTGCGATTAAAGACCGCATGGCTATTCCCGTCAGGACCAGTTTAAAAAACGAGCCCCAGTGTTGGTGATTCGAAAGCCACAGGCCAGGCTCAGCAGTACGAAGCTCTCTCTGGAGGCGCTACTGATCTGGTCGAATGCTCTGTACACAGAAGGGGCGACATCATGAGCCGCAGATTCTGCAGGTCGTCCAATAGGAGGCACTTATGAGGTGGGTGGCCATTTTGTAAAGCCCACCACTGTGGCAGAGTTACGTTCGGCAGATGATGACGCGTTCATATCACATGGTCCGTACCATTGAGCTGTGTGACATCACCTTCCAGAGGCTGAGACAATCAGGACCTTAATTAATTAGTTCCGCTTGAATAAAACTAGGCTTGATCTGCCATCTGCTTCAGATGAAAGGGATAAACCTCTAATTAGCTACAGCTAGTGTCAAAACCTCCACCCCTTACCTGGCAATCACCCTGCACTGGTCCACCCCCACCTCACCTCAACCCCAAGGCAGTCTGCCACACTCAGGGGTCAGCCTTCCATCTTTGGGAGCGCTCCTACCACCGGGTGGCGCCGGCACTCTTAAAACTATCCCGAAAAAGGGTCAAAGAGCAGGTGCACGGAATAACAAGCATCGTCGCCACCGTTTATTGGTTCTACAGCTTTATGGCCGACGCACTAACTAAACAAACAGTAAGGGCACCACTTTTGTGATGAGCAAAAACAAATCTGCGTCTGGACTGGAAAAAAACAAAAAAAAAAATAGCCAAAAATAGCATTTCCACCCTGGGAATGTGCGAACGCTGCAACCTAGAAACGAACATGACGGAGACATCACTGAACACACGTCAGCCCTCATAATCCCAGGACCTGGAAGGTTTGAAGTCCCCAGTGACGGGCAGCATTCATGTTCGATTCAACTGCTACTTTCAACACATCTGACCGCTGGCTAAGACTCCGCCCTCAACTCCGCAAGGGTTTGCTCAGTATAGTCACATAACGTTTCCGTCGGCGACAAATTGCATATACGATGGTGGTCCCATAAGATTATAAAGGAGCTGAAAAATTGCTATTGACTAGTGACGTCGTAGTCAATGTAACGTCGCATCGCTCAGCCTTAATCACGTGTTTGTGGTGATGCTGGTGTAAGTGAACCTACTGCTCTGCAGGTCATACAAAAATATAGCACATACAATTATGTATGATAACTATGTAACTAGTTTATGCATTTACTATACTGTACTTCTGTTACTTTCGAGAGTACTATACTGTACTTTATCGTTGCTTTAGAAAGTACTACACAGTAAAATCCCGTTATAATGGACTTCAAGGGACCGGGCAAAACAGTCCGTTATATCCAAAGTCTGTTATATCTAGAGTTGCTGTATGCCCAGAACACAACTACAGGACATCATTTACTCATGCCACACCTCAGCAGACACACTTGTGGTATAGATTATTATATTGTACATGTAGTAATCCAACTTTACCTGACCAGAGATGCGTTAATAATCCCGACTACGTACGTATCTGTGCTGGATATCACCGGCACGCCACGCGCCTTGTAGGCGGAGCTGCATGTCCGTTATAGCCGAACAAAACTACAGCTAAAAGCGGCCCTGGGGACCGAATTGTTTGTCCATAATAAGCGTAATCCCGTTAAATGAGAGTCCACTATATCCGATGCTTTTTCTGCATGTTCTTTAAGGCGCACGGCCAGGACCAGCGGACCTCGTCTGCTATAGACGATATTCTGTTATAAGAGAGTCCTCTATAACGGGATTTTACTGTACTGTAATTCTATAAAAATAGCATACTGTAACCGAGGTGTGTAGAAGGCTGTACCATCGAGGTTTTTGTAAGTACACTATGATATTTGCACGACAAGGAGATGGCTTAATGACTCATTTCTCAGAAGGAATCCCTGTCAGTAAGTGACGCGTGATTGTATTCGTGTAACTGTCAGCTTCTAAACTGGTAGATGGGATGTCAGGCTTTTTGGGTCTTCAGAAGCTATAGCCCCTAACGGGGGACTGGGTGGAGGGAAGCGTGCAACCGTCGTACCCAGGGAGTGAAACAGCTCCGTCATCTTCGGATGATCCCAACAAGTCGTCTGAGTCTGGTGGCTGAAGAAAAAAAGACATGAAAAGGGAAGATGAATCACTCTTGCTAACTTGCTAACAAGCTCATCTGGAAACCAACCCCCCCCCCCAACATGGGGCAGCCCAGCAAACAGCACTGTGGTATGTCCTGTGTCTTCACAGACACTGGCACTGCGGTATGTCCTGTGTCTTCACAGACACTGGCACTGCGGTATGTCCTGTGTCTTCACAGACACTGGCACTGTTGCACCTATGCAAATGTATCCATTTGATCTGGTCTCATGTCCACATGATCTGGCTGAAGTTGCCTCTGTACACAGCGGCTCCTCGCTCGTCCCGAAAGCTCCCCGCGGAGCCATCGTCTCCACACGACCTCTCATCACCAAATGCCAATTATGTTTCCCCTGCTTACTGTCTGCCGCGTTTGCGGTACAGGGGTGATTACTTTAGCGTGTCAGACTGACAGCCACATGTTCAAACATCAGGAGATGTATTTCAATGAAATGAAGCATTTTCATTTGCCATTTGTACAAATATGATATTAATTAGGTCAGTGTTTCCTAATCCAGTCCTCAGGAACCCACAGACAGTCCATGTTTCTGCTGCCTCCCAGCTCCCGCATGAGGACTGTCTGGCAGGGAGCTCGGAAGGAGCAAAAACATGGACCAAGTGTAGGACCAAAGACTGGAGTAGGACTCACTGAATTAGGCAACTTAAGAAAATTTGTGGTTCTGAAATACAGGTCACTTCTTGTGTCCCTGCACACCGAGGGAGGGGGGAGGGGATATCCCCCCCCAGAGCTGCCACCAGGGGACACCTGTGTTTGATTTGGCTTTTGAAGAGTCTCCTTCCCAACACCGTAACCCCCAAACCCTGAAGAGACAGAGATGTGTGAGGGCTGATTATGAAGCAGGCATTTCTGCTCAATCACAGTGACACTTTATATTAGGGTAAGAGCTATGGAAACTAAGTGACACCTCCCCCCCACACACACACCAAGATCCTACCATGCAGGGGTGGGTATTTTTTTTTAAAATACTTATCTGGATGTTCCTGGCTCTGAAAACTCCATTAAAAAGCAAAAGGACAACAGAATACATTAGATTCTGAAAGTATTACACTTAACCTTTTCAAATATAATGAAGCATTTAAAAAAGATAATAGTCTTTAGATAATCCTTTCGAGAAGTCAAGACACGAGACTGAATGGATGAAACGGTAAGCTTATTTGTGTATAAATATAAACATCAATAACAGGCAGAGTCATTACCCACAATGCCGCAGATGGCAGAGATACAATACGTAAGCCTATTTGTGTATCAGTATACTCATGAATACAAATGAGACGCTCGATTACACACATCCCTGAAACGACGACAAAGTAAGATCTCCAGCCCTTTAATTTGGGAGAGGTGTATTTAAATTACGGCCGTGCAATCACAAACACAGTGACGTCCATTCTCTCCCAGACCACGTTCCTCCATGGAGAGAAGGAAACTGATTTACGACACACACATCTGAGCAAAGTTCACGTCGTCATCGTTGTGGGGACTCTCCATTCATTTCTATAGACAAAACTCTAACCCCAACAATGGCAACCTTAACCCCTACCCAGTCTTAACCTTAACCATAAGTAACAAAACAAAATACAAGACTTTTGGCATTTTTAGTTTTTTGATTGCAGTTTTTTTTTTTTTAATTGAGGTTATCCTTGTGGGGTTTGCATTACACTGTGGGGAAATCTGATCCCCACAAAGTAAGTACAGAAACACACACACACACTTCATAGTTCTGAAATTACAATATAAACATTAAGATACTTTTGTTTTCCAGCTTATAGTCCTTGAAAAGGCCTGGGTGTTTTTCTCACGGCTGACTAAGTGTTAAAAACTCATCTCCAGCTGGGGAGAAATGCTACAACACTACAAAAAGTGTGTCACCCCAGCTTAACTGCCCTCAGGGCAAGCACAAGGTTACCTCTGAGGCTTCATCTGACACGGACGCCCCCTGTAAGTCTCACCGCTCTGGGACAGTGTGTGGCTCAGTGGTGCCTGTGATCAGAAGGTTGCTGGTCGGAGCCCCAGCATCGCCAGATTAGTCACATGAGCTTTAGGCCCTAGATCAAGGCCCTTATCCCCTAACTCCAGCGGCTCCGGATAAACGGCCTGACGCTCCGTGCTCAGACCCCAAGATTCACTCTCAACTGTATAGATGTCCGCGTCTCAAAGAGGGCATGATAGGATATATGAATAGACGCATTAGAATGTACCTGCGCTCAAACATGCGCATAAGGCAAATAAAGCATCATTTCATATCATTTTACTCTATCGCTCTAGCACCGATTTAAATCAAATTCCTAGAGTGAACTAAGGTGACTGAGAACATCGACCAGGCGGGAGCGTTAAGTAGACTGCGTGCTCGTCATGTCACTCCGCATTGTCAGACCTAACAGCAACTTGCCAGATCATTACCTAATCATCCATTTTCAGAACCAGAGAGACAACATAAGTATGAGCCACACACCTAAACCGTTTGCCAGATGGTTATCAACACATGAAAGTAAACATACTGATACAATCATAATCATTACAGGCAAAACACCATTTCTTGGAGCAAAAATGTTAGTATATAATTCAAGTAACACCCCCAACCACTCAGTATTCACAAAAAAAAAAAATCTCCTTACAAATGCATGCACGCACATTACTGATTATGTGGAAATTGATATTCCGTCTTGGAACTTTACCCAGTGATTTACAGTGCTGCCTTGGGGAAAACACTCGATATTCTGTCTATAAAAAGTGCTGAGATACCCTCAGCTCCACAGGAGAGACATCGCTGTAAGCAAACAGGCACCTGCCTGGACGGCATGAGATGCTGGAAGCTAAGAACAGAAACACAGGCCCGTGCTGAATGGCAGGAGAGCAGACAGACATGGCCTGCGGCAAAAGTACAGCAGGGACAGGCAGCAGTCAATTCCAGAATCAGGAACTCAGGATGGTAACCACACCTCACAAAAACACAGTTTATTTAGATCTAAAGACTGTCAAGAAGGTTTTGTGTCTTGAAAATATTACATATTCTGCATGCTTGAACAGGAATATAGAAGCCAAAAAAAAAACTTGGACAACTACAAGTAGTACTCAACAAAAAGGTGCTTCCCTCTAGTGGACAGGAGGACTCAGTCCCAGGGCATTAGTTGGGAGAATTTAATCACATGTGCTGAGACAGTGCCTCCTGGACACACATCAGTGTGAAGATGACGCTCTGTGTACTTGCATCTTGTTAACAACTCTACAGGGGCTGAATAATATAGAAAGTAAATGAAATGCTTAACAGGATATACACACTTTCTCAGTATGACAAACATATAAAGCAGGATGGGTGGTGATTAGTTACATAGACTAGCCTGTATAAATGGATGCAGATAAAACTGGCTTCTGAGCACCTGAAGGTACGAGGCCACATGTTT